TTCGGGCTCCCAAGCGTTTTAGCTTGGGTGCCCAGGCCTAAAAGATGGTTGCCTAAATCAAAATTCTGTCCACATGTAAGCCCTTCGGGCTCCCAAACATTTTAATTACAATACGGTGAGGACTCCTAGTTGGTCGCCCAAATTAATAAATCAGTCAGTTAATTATTAAAAATTAAACAAACTGTTTTCGTAACGAGTCAAATAGAACTATGTGCATTTATTTATTGTTTTTATGTTCATGAAACATCGTATCCTTTGACCTCCTGAAAACCTATCATCACTCATAGTCAAATAATTATTTAATTCACACTTACAGAAGCAGTGCAAAACTATTTTTTGAAAAATGAATAGTATACATATACCAAAGATAATCTGATAAACCTAAAACTGTCTCATTGAAGTTCAATTCAAAGCAGAATGTAAGCTTAGCAAAACGACTATTTCAGAACTCAATTATACTTAATTCTTTAGGAATTCTTTAGACAGAGTTTAAATTGGAATTACAAATTACAAACTACGGTAGATCAATACTGTCAACGATGTAAATCATCTTTTATGAATTAGAAATATGAACATTTTAAACAAAATTGTACAGTGAATCATTAAACACTCGCAGACACGGCAGTAAAAAGCCGGCTAAAATATTAAAAGAGCGACTCCCGTGTTTATTCAGCGATTTATTAATCGCCGACCGTACTTTATGCCTATCAGAGCAGAAGTAACAACTTCTTTTAAAAAACTAGCTGATGAGCCATCCCAATTTAAAGGAAAAATTTTAATGCTATCGGAAAAGCCGTTAAAATCGAAAACTGTGCAGCTAGTCAAGTTCAAAGTCAAGGATTATGCTACATGTGAATTCACGTGGAACGACCTTTGAACATCAACGCGCGCCCGATGGAACAACATTTTCTTTTAAAAGAACGACTCCCGTGTTCATTTAGCGATTTATTAATCGTCGACCGTACTTTGCCTGTCAGAGCAGAAGTAACAATTGCTTTTGTGTAAACTAACTAACGAGCCATCCTAATTTAAAGGAAAAATTATAATACTATTTGGAAAAGCGGTTAAAATCGAAAACTGTGCAGCTTGTCACGATCAAAGTCGATGATTCACGTGGAACGACCTTTGAATATCAACGCGCGCCCGATTGAACAACATTTTCTTTTTTTTTTTTGACTGTAAATCAAGAAACCAACACCAGCCAGTCGCCCGGTCGGGCGACCAAGAAAATATTTTCAGTCGCCCGAGGCCAAATGTTAGTCGCCTCAGGCGACCGGGCGCCGTTAGAGCACAGCCTTGATATTATACCAAGAAGCAAAATTGTGGAATTCTCTGCCACATTCGATAATCGAATCTGACAATATAAAATCTATCAAACAGTCCCTTAAATCCTTTTTAATTAATTTGCAATATACTCAATGAATTTTATAGCAAGGTTATTAATATTAATAATATGCGTGAAAAGATTACTTAGTTCTGATCGGTTAAGATAAATTCAGTTTTCAGGTAATTCAGTGCACAAGAAGGTTGATTCAGTGCAAAGAAGTAACAAACCAGACATTCTGATTGGTCTATTATCAAAGAAACTCACAGATAGCCAATCAAGTGCGAGCCCTGAATGTCGCAACATTTGGATACGCTGAAACTTTGCGAGCGAAATTAAGTAAGTTACCTTTCGCCACCGCAACAACAATACAGTAGCTGAAAAACAGTTCTAACAACGAAAACGCTGTAAGAGAGCAATGCTTTTTGGTTGTCGGTTTTGGAAAAAGTGGTGCTAACAGAAGGGAATTGCCAAGGCAATCCCCAGATGAAGGCACTAGTAAGGAGTGTCGAAACGTTGGGTCTCTGAATTGAAACTTCTCGGTTGAATTCATTAAATCTTTAAACCAGAGTAGCATCAAACCATGTCTAACAATCGTGAAATTGCCCATGAATACGGCATTTCAGAATCCATGGTGAGAAAATGATGCAACCAGCAACATTTCCTGTTTCTGGTGAGCTGCGGATGACAGCAAAGTGTGCATCCATGGAACGTTTCCAACCGAAGGACCTGAGTTGGATATCATGTTACCGAGCAGGTGTTGTTAAGCATGCAAATTTCCGTTTGTTCGCTTTTCTATAGAAGTTGATTAATGTTCTAAAAGCAGTATTCCTTTTTAATTTATAGCAATAATGGATTGAATTCGACGCAATATTCGCTACACCTCAGGCCAAAAAGCTCTGCTTTTTCTACTTTTTCTGCGTTTTCTCTCAACAATTAGTGTCTTATTCTCGTCTTTTTAACTGTTAGTTCTACTAAAATTGTGATCTTAAAATTTTGTTGTGCAAAAATACTTGGCTATAAGACACACCCCAATTTCAGCACTAGCTTTCCAACCGAAGACAGAATTTTCTTCAAAAAACCGTGCTCCTTATAACTGAGAAACTACGGTAATCCAGAGAAGTAGCTAGCCGCCATTAAGAACCTTCATTACCGATTTCAAGACTGGCAGTGTTGCCTGAGTTCACCGCCACGATATGTCAACAAACCACACAAACGCACGTCGCGTCAATTGTATTCTTAGTCAAGATCGCTTTCGCCGCCGCTACGAGGAAGCAGAATTAATGCAAAATGTTCACGTCAAGTCAATTCCCTTCCGCCCAGATTTCGATTCATCATAACGAGCTGTTGTTTAAGTCGGTCTTTCGATTTTATATAGAGAGATACTTGGTCTGGATGGTGGTTTCGTAGCACCAGGTCACTTGAAAAAAAAGACCATCTTCCCCATTTATTTGACGTGATTTTCCGATTAAAGAATAACAAATAATTGTTGTACCTATAATAATACAGTTTCCTACGCCAAAGAAACAACTATGCTACTCTCCAGACACATCAGCATAACAGCGAAGTGTTGTACATGCACGAGTATCCTTGTTTACTCAAGTTCAGTTTAATGAACGAAATCATGAGTGGCTTGTTTTTTTCCTCACAGTCCTACTCACCGATGGTCCAGAAGGAGCAGAAGAAAATGTAACCCACCAACAATACGGTTTTCATGATGCCTCGTCGAACTTGAATTGAAGTATACCTCTAAAAGCACCAGACACCGTCGGCTATCAGAAGGATGAGATCAATCGATTTCTTAGAACTGTAGGCTCTAAGAAAAAACTTATTCTTTGCGGGGGGCCACACCAAAAAAGGAAGAAAAATAAAACACCCTTCCGTCACAGAACTGTTGACGACTAAAAGTGAAATACGAATCTTGTAGCTCTCGGCATATGAATACGTTTCTTCCAAAACCTTCCAAAAGTTTTACTCTGGGAGAGAGCCTACAACTGCCGCAGCCTTTCCTATGGCGATCCGTTCGTCACTCATCACCTGTTACGTCAAATTGGACTTTATACTTGGGCATAAGACTTTCCTTCTGCAGCTGGTGAGGAAATTTCAATGAAAGTAGCGCGCATGGCTTAAACGAAGAGTCTCCAACCTTTTTTATGACGAGAAAAGGCGAACAATCAGCAAAGTCACGTTGCTATGACTAAAACCAACAGCCCAAATTTTCATTCTGAGTCGAAAAGCTATTGAATTTAACTTGCTTATTCATGTCAAATCTAAAGGCGAGCCAGCTGTGACCGAGGATCAGGCTTAAACAGACAGTTCAGTTTTCTCGCGATCACGGAATTCTTGTAAGTGACCTGCAGATCAAATCAACTCTGATCAAAAGCTTTCACAGTTTTCTCACTCCGTCATGCCTTGAATTTAACGCTAGGAGGGCACAGATTCACTTTGCTTTCATTGAAAGAAAATGACAATTTAAAGTTTATAAACAAGATCGATTCTTAGAAAAAACCTGGTAAGTTTACAGCTTCATAAAAGACATAACTATTTACTGTTTACTTTACATTTGACTCTTTCGTGTGCAGTCTCACAGGTCACAGTGATCTTTGAAATAGTTGAGTACGCAACAACTGAAGAATTTCAAAATTTTATGTTATTTACTTTCCCAAAAACTCTGGAGGCTTATTGTCTTTGCCTTTTCCTTTCGAAGTCGTTATGGCGCTCGTAGTCGCAGCTAAGATGATAACACTACCATAACCATTTTTTAGTTTGAAGGGTTGGAATCTCATGATAAGTTTTTGGAACTGATGACTACCCAATAATCATCGCTTAAAGCGTAAGTGAATAGGAGGAAATGAATCAATTGCAGAGATGTCAAACTCTACAAAACGTCAGACATCAGAACAAATCATGCATATCTATGACTACTACAAACTGACACACTTGGCAACTGGTTTACTTCTCTTAAAAAAATTATTTCAGATCTAGAATTATTCGCCTCCAGCGATTAAAATAATCAGGCTTGAAAGACTATTAAGCCGTGTAAAGGTTTTTAACAAACTGCACTTTTGACGGTAAATAACCTCAGAGATGAAATCCCCTCCGAACGACTCACAGGTTAAATTTTTAAGCAAAGAGTTAGCAACAAGTCCCTCAGTGGTTAACAATCAACCTTTACTCAGAGAAGTAGGCCTTCCCCACAACCCCTTCCCCCTTAAATAGGTAAGAAAATCCACACAAAGTATATTGATAAGTGGCAAAGCAACTAAATCGCTATTTTCAATAGAAGAAACCAAAGCATCATGTTTCACATCAACGGTTTTCGGGAATATTTATGACTTTACTGAACAAAACGTTCACGCTTTTTCCACGATAATACTACACAGTAATTACCATTAGCTAATCTGAGCGGGATCTGGGATTTATTTTTACCTTTGTTTCTTAAGTTACTTATCTCGTAAATCAACATGAGAATCCTCTCAATATAATTTGGAACTATAACAAGGCGATATCACGAAAAATCTTTGTCTAGAGCAGTTTTAAATTGGCTGTCGAAATATACAAACCAAAGTAATCACAACAGCTTATCGCAAAAAAGGTTAGCGTCATTATCACTGACCAATGAGAAATGAGGGTAAAAACAGATTTTCTCCGGGGCTTGCATAAGAACTCCATCACGACTTCAACCTCAAAACTGTCTACATATTGATATTAACAGCTAGATTACACACAAAGGTGATTTCACTTCAACCACATGAATCATCAAAACGTTCTATGACTAGTTTACACTAAAAGCTGCAAGCGACACACCCAACAACAACCCCATGGCTACGACACCATCGCTGATATAAACTGCCTTCCTGGAGCTGGAAAATTGACCACTTGTGTCCAGAATATTTCCCTTGTTGCAGTAATCTTCATAGCAGCACTTTGCTTTGCATTCATAGAAAGGATGGTAGCATTCTTCGGTTATGTTTCCTTTGCTGAACTGTTCACAGGAACGTTTAGGTATGACTGCTTTGGCAAAAGCATCCATTTTCACAGATCCATTGTCGAATCTGATATGATATTGCAGACATGCAGCGAAGTCGGGGTACTCATCCAATTTAAGATTACTTTGACATTCCTCAAAACTCTGGCCAGAGCAGTAATAACAGTGTATATTGAAAATACCTGCGGAAACAGTATGATGTACTTAGTGACATTTTCCAAAGTTGGTGGGGGCGGGAGAAGCTGAAAATAAGGTCGGTTGCTCTTCTATGATGGATCACAGCAGTTGTCTCCAACCGGAGATACATTTTTCATGCCATTAGCTTCTAGTCCTTGATAGGGCGTTCGTCAGACGGCTTTCCCTCTACATTGACCCCCTTTTTTAATCTTTACCCCCTATGGGCTGACGACTGGACATGCAGCAAGTAGTTATTGCACATCACTAACTACATGACTGTTATTTACTTTATTTCACACAACGAAAATAAGGAATCCATCGCGCAATTTATTGTCGATCTTTTCTCCCTGGAGATGAGTCGCAGGTTACGCTTCAGCTGCTTTTGGACTTTCCGCGAAAATCAGCAAAGAACTGCCATAAGATCTTTCTCAGAATTTCTTCCCCATGAGAGCCTGACAAGGATCTACGGAGCCACTTCCAAGGAGAAAAACATCGGAGAAGCCAGGGTCGATAATCAGAACATAGACTTAAAACTTGATTTGTGAGGATTGCAATGACTTACAACAAGTCTTCGGTATTGGATGTCGTTTTCTTTGATTATCTTCAGTCTAAACAGTGATTTAGCGACTCGCACAGCGTTGTTACACAAATTATTTGGTTAGTTTAGAAGTCCGAGTACTCTGATAAATTCGATTCTCAGGTTTGGTGTAGTTTACAACTAATCCAGAGTAGTGGCTAGCCGCCATTAGGAACCCTCATTTTCCATTTCAAGGCTGGCAATGTTGCCTGAGTTAACCAAGAACGATGTGTCAACAAAACTCACAACATGCATCACGTCCATTGCATTCTTAGCTAAGATCGCTCCGAAGATCTTTCGCCGCTGCTAAGTGGAAACAGAAGTTATACAAAAATTTCGCGTCAAGTTAATTATTCCCTCCCGCCCAAATTTCGATTCATCATAACGAGCTGTTGTTTAAGTCGATCTTTCGATTCTGTGTAAACAGATACCCGTTCTGGGTGGTGGCTTTGCAACAACAAGTCAACAAAAAAGTGTTGTACATGCACGAGTATCCTTGTTTACTCAAGTTCAGTTTAATGAACGAACACACGAGTGGCTTGTTTTTTTCCTCACAGTCCTACTCACCGATGGTCCAGAAGGAGCAGAAGAAAATGTAACCCACCAACAAAGCGATTTTCATGATGCCTCGTCGAGCTTGAATTGAAGTATACCTCTAAAACACCAGACACCGTCGGTTATATCAGAAGGATGCGATCAATTGATTTCCCAGAACTGCGGGCTCTAAGAATGAACTTATTCTTCGCGGGGGTCCACACCAAAAAACAAAACAAAACAAAACGAAAACAAAAACACCCATCCGATAAAAACTGTTGACGACTTAAAGAGAAATACGAATCTTGTAGCTCTCGGGATATGAATACGTTTCTAAATTACAACCTTTCCTGTGGCGATCTGTTCGTCACTCATCACTTACACGTCAAATTGGACTTTATACTTGGGCAAACGAATTTACTTCTGCAGTTGGCGACGAAGTTTCAGTGGTAGTAGCGTGCATGATTAAAATGAAGAGTCTCTAATTTTTTTTACGACGAGGAGAGGCGAACAATCAGCGAAAAAACACGTTGCTATGGCAAAAACCAACTGCCGCAATTTTCATTCCGAGTCAAAAAGCTATTGAATTTCCTTATTCTTATTATATTCAAAGGTGAGTTCGCTGTGACCGAGGATTAGGCCTAACAAACAGTTTTCTCATCATCTCGGAGGCCTCCATTTTCTGAATTAATTTGGAGGAGCATGCTTCATTATCCCATAGCAGTTAGCGCCCTTGGCGCTCGTAGTCGCAGCTAAGATGATACCGCTGCCAAAACCATTATTTAGTTTGAAGGGTTGGAATCTCATTACAATTTTTTGGAATCGTTGATTACCTCATCTTCACTAACGTCCCACCGAAAACAAAAGAAAGGCGTGTTTGAGGGGGCGTAAGTGAAGAGGTGGATATGAATCAATTGCAAAGATACCAAACTCTACAAAACGTCAGACATCAGAACAAATCATGCAAATCTGACTACTACAAACTGACACGACGGCAAGAACTGCTCGTCTGAAAAACGAACAAATGATACAAATGATGAAGCTTGTTTCGCAGGCTCTTCACAAATATATTTGTGCAAGAGAATACAGCTGATAAAGAACTAAGACCGTTTGTCAACTAAATTACAACGTTCTTAATTAATTTCCAAATATGTTTCATTCTAAACAAAAAGCGGTAAAAAAATTAAGCTTGATCACAACGGAAACTGATCTTCTTAAAAAGGGGGGGGGAGGAGCGTATTTTAGGGGGATAACATGGTTTTCGGGGGGAGCGGAGGGGGGAGCGGAGGGGGCAGCGGAGGGGGCAGCGGAGGGGGGAGTATAACAAGGATACTATAGAAAATTGACTACCAATTACTATCAATGAGAAGGGATCATACGAATATTAAAGAGACTTACGGGGAATTAGTAAAATTTATCGTAACACAATCAAATCTTCTGACATACTCCCCCCCCCCCCCCCATCCTTCACCCTTCCCATCCGCTTAGGCGACCCTCCATGGGATTTCAGGGAAGAAGGTGAACGCATGCAAACCGTACGCTCGCCCTCTAAAACAAAAGAACTAGCTTTTAACACGTGAGCTGCGTGTTAGTTACTTGCCTCATTAACTTCGTAGCCATTGTCTTGCTTCGCACGGTAGAAGCAAAGGAACGTGTTAAGATCTGCTCGCAACTTTGCACGATACAATACAGTAACCGTGCCAATTTTATAACACGTCTCTTAAAGTTAAAGTTGCTTTTGATTTTTACAGGGAGCCGGAAATATGGGCTTAATAATTGCGTGAAGCGGTAAGGATTTATAGTTTACAAGGTAAGAATTAAGCTTTGAAAAAGTAATTCATGTGTTCAAACTGAGCTCCTCTGAACCTTGTGAAACACGTCGTGCTCATTGAATTCTTTGTGAAAATCGTGAGGGAAAGAGCCGTGATTTGCCGTGAATGTTCCTTTTTTTTGTTACAACTTTCTGATAGGAAAGAAGATCTTCTTTATTTTCGCTCATATTCTGTGAGCAATATACTTAACAAACACCATTCTCACAATTAAGAAGCTGACAAACGCAGGGGTATACAAGATAAGCTTGAGTGTTACGGAAACAAAGGAACTTAGCGTGTTAAAAAAAAAAAAAAATCTAGCGTGTTAGAGAAACAAAGCTCTACCGTGTTCCAAAATCAATTGTTTTCATGCGCATATCTGCACGGTAGGCGTGTCATGCCATTAGCGTGCGAGCGTGTTATAACGTGCCGTATGCGCGCGTTCATCTTATTCCTTGAAACCTACTCATTACGTTAATTACACGGGGCCCGTTTCTCGTAGGTCCCGGTAACTTATCGGGCTAGTAAAGTTGTTCTGTTTTCATTCGAGCCGGAGGGTTTGAATAGTCTTGGAAATTATATAATAAACGTTTTAGCTAAAGAAACAAAATGGACTGGTCAAGGAGCCACAACCTTTAAATTTTTATTCTAAAATATAGCTTCAGGACTTTCGAGAAACGGGCCCCGGTCCCTGATCTCACTTGTAGGGCTTAAAATGTGTACTTGCGTCAAGTACGCCCAATGGGCAAGATTTGCTTTTTTCTGAAAATGGCGAAGAGGGCTCGTTGGAGAACTTCTCCTGATGAAATTTTCCTGAAATAGTCCCCCACCTCCCCTGCACTCCATTACAAAAAGATAAAACTGGCCGTGAAAGTTCCCGTCTGAAGTGAGGGAACGCTTCTCATTCACTTCAGACTAAGACGAGGAGTCGAGAGATGGAAAATGATAGCGGTAACGTAATCTGGTTCGCTAATATTCCTATTGTACAACTTTTCTTTTGGCAGTTTAGAACGTAGTGCGATCACGTTCTACCTCTCGACCCTTAAGATTGATTGACATCTAATTTCTCCTTACAGTATTATTACTGAATCAAGCACTTAAGTCATGAGAATAAAGAAAATGATCACCAACCAAAAAAGCTCCTAATTGTGAGACAAATTCTTCTGGTCAGTATCATAGGAAATATATAAACGGCAGTATGCAGAATGCGGAGACTGGTTTTAGGAACTGAAGGGTCAGAGTTTATTGCTTTCCCACCTGTTCGCGCGCGACCTGTTTCTCGACATTTGGAAGACGCGTTCGTTCTGCGCCCGATCGAGTGAACCTGTCATTTGACCAATTCCAAATGAATCCTCTCCCTTTTCCTCTTTCTTTTTCGGAAACTATTTTGCTTTATCATGTATTTTTCTCAAAATGCGGAAATCGCGGCTAACTTAAAGTAAATTTTATAATTTAATGAAAATCGAGTTGTATGTAAATCAGTTGTCACGCACTGACTGTGGCGGCTACATTGTGACATACACAGGCTACGGTGGGAAGCGTACGTGATGATCTCTTAGCCAGGTTGAACACGTAAGGCAGGACACATCAAAACGAAAGAACGGATTCGGTATTGGAAGACTTATTAGATTCGATAACAGGAAGGCGACCGGTAAGTGAAGCGATCTTTCTTTCATAATTTCGAGTTGAATTAGATATTTGGGGGTTTCGATTCTCGGTGTAGACTTTCACTGGCGAGGACCCGACTGATTTGGCCAAAGCCCTTAGGTGTCGACTCTCACATTGTTGAAGACACTTGATGTCTACTGCAGGTTCAATATAAAGTGTTTTGAACGTTATCTTTGACCGCATACTCCATGCTGAACTCCTTAAATTATCTTAGATATTCATGGATTAACGACGACTAGATAGGTGCAGAAAAGCGCCATTTGTTTTGTTCGAATTCAGTCGAGCGAGTTGTCCATGCTTACTTGAATTTTGTGCCGGATCGAAATCATCTGGAAGAAGGAAAAGTTGGTGAAGGTAATATTCACCTTGAGTTATATATTTCTCCTTAAAAGAATGACTTCTTAAACGCGGAAATAGTAAATCTACTCGATTTCGTAAAGTTAGCCGAGATCGATCGCGTAGATCGCCAACTTATCCAGCAAACCGAATTTTGAAAGCGTTCGATACCGTTTGCAATCCAAACAATTCAATTGCTCATAGCCCATTAACGTACTGTAGAAGAATTGTTTGCATTTGCTAAATAGCTTCACGAAGTTTTCTGTTCGTTTGTAGCACTTTTAAACATTAATATTGCATAGAGGGTAACAAGATTGACGCCGTCATTCGTAAGAAATTTTCGGTTGGAGTAAAGCTTGTCGCTCAAAGCCCATGGGAAGTGGGTCAAATGGATTGGAGGCCTTCCTTCTTTGATGTCTGAACACTTCAAGAAATATTGCAACGAGCATCGTGTTTGCTTTGTTGAATTGAAACGCAAAGTTCGTCGAGATATTGCAAATCGGTTGCGTGACTGCGCGGAAATTTAACTTAAATGACGGCTTGCTTGTTATTGAAGAGACGAAAATATCCTCCATCTCATCAGCAGTTTTGAAGAAAATTCAAGATATTCGCATTAAGAAATGGAACAACGTGTGTGTACGTTTTATTTTTGTCCGGTAATGTGTTACGATGTGATTGGAACTCATTTCAAGCAAAATTACGTGAATGGCTTCCGTTCGCACAGGAACTTGAAGTTCGTATTCTGTTTTCCAAAATCGAAACTGATATCGCACTACCGATGATTGCAGCAGAAACAACATGCTAATGCCACTGAATTTAATTTATTTAACCATTTAACCATTTAACTGGATGGGTAAAGGCTGGCAGAAGCGGGATCGAAAAGTAAAAATTTTGGAAGAAAGGAATTAACGAAAGGATCCTGTTTTGAAAACAAGCTAAATTCTAAATAATGACAATAATATGAATTATTAATGTTGGTGTCGGTTGCTAACCTACATTTATTTTTGTATTCGAAACAATACCAGTACAATTATCTTGCAATGAAATCTGCACGGGAAAAGTTTCGAAGATTTAGGGAAACTGGCAGATTTTGATCCATAGATTAACGAGAAAAATTAAAACTTAAGATTGTTCTCAGGAGTCTGTGGTTATATGATATGTCAAGTTGGAATTGACCTGTGGACCCGAGGATATAGAAACAAAGGGCTTGGTTAAAACAGTCACTGCAAATAATTTTTTTTTTTTTTTTTTTGGTTGCCAGAGACACAATAAA